CCCAAAAAAATATTAGGTGTGGGTGGGGTGGCCAGGAGGGCTACCATACCTACCACATCTGATTTCTTACAATAAATACTACTCACCTTTTGCCCTACATTAAGATTACAAATATTTGGAGGTAAAAAATGAGTGCACTGTTAGTGTATTTTACTTTTTATTTTTTAATGCCTAGTTCTATTGCTAACTTAATGTATGTTAGTGTAAACTTGTTATCTGGCATTTATATATTTGTAAGTGGAAAAAATGAGATTCTGCTTTCCGGCGATGTCCGCTTTCTGGCGGTAACCTGGAACCTAACCTGCAGTATAAGTGGGGCCCAACTGTACAGCAGTTGTGTGCATTACTGCCCACTTAAGACTTCATACTTTTAGCAAGAGAGAGCAGAGCTATGCTGGTGGCATCCAGCATGCACTCTTGAATCTGTTAAATTTTATTTTAATGGTTATAGCACTTGTAATCCATTCCAACCTTCAACTGCTGTTGAATTTTTTATTAGTGTTCTTTTGATACAAGTTCTCAGTTTACTACTGTGGTTTCCTGTTCTCTGTTCTAAGAAATCCTGTTTCATATTTAATATTTTTTAAACCTTATACAGTGGGGCCTTGAGTTACGAACATAATTCGTTCCAGAAGGCTGTTCGAGTGCCAATAAGAACATAAAGAAGGAACACTGCAGCAGGCCTACTGACCCATGCAAAGCAGGTCCATGTCTCCCCCTCCCCCCAGATTAGCTCAGTGACCCACCTAGTCAGGCCACTTCCACTTAAGGAAGGAGCACAGCATCAGACCTAGTAGCACAAGCTAGTCAGGTCCAAACCATACCACGGGCGGGGATAGAACCCGCGATCAGAGAGTTTCTGATCATGGGTTCTATCCCTGCCCGTGGTATGGTTTGTTTGCAATCGTGTCATTACGATTTCGTGAGTCATAGTCAGGTCCAACTCTCACCCACCCACACTCACTCATGTATTTATCTAACCTATTTTTAAAACTACACAATGTTTTAGCCTCTATAACTGTACTTGGGAGTTTGTTCCACTCATCCACAACTTTATTACCAAACTGAATGAATTTGTTCCCATAAGGAATAACATAAATTAGATTAGTCCATTTCGGACCCCCAAAAATACATTTACAAAAGCACTTATAAACTTACATAATTGTTCAAGTTGGGAGCTGTTCGAAACTCGAGGTACCACTCTATGTGGTTATGATGTCTCCTCTTTTACTTTTATCACTTCTTGCTGCATTTGCTAAATCCTTTCCACCACCTGGGACATAGTTACATAGCTAGTCTGGAATGAGCCATAGATGCTATTTAGTATATTTTTGCTTAGACCATTTAGAGGTGATGTATATTCACAAGTCCTTATATTTATCCAAATCCATAAGTTCTTCTGCTCCCATCTGGTATGAGTTGTCTGGCCCATGAGTTTAACCTTTTGTGCTAGGATTTGTCCTGTCTATGAATTGCTTCTCTTTCATGGAGTGAAATCTGTCAAGTCACTTAGGGTTTTCTTTATCTTATGTTGTTTGGTTCATGAGTTACATCTCTTCCTCTTTGCATGATTTGCCTGGTTTTTTTTTTATCATCATACTTTTCTTATTTTTTTGTTTTACATTATCCATTTTCCATCAAGGCGGGGTAACTCATTGAAGATGACAAATTCACCATCATTCATGTATTGTCAGAAATGTATCGGCACCACCATTTGAATGTCCCTCTGGCAACATTCCCACCCAGCATCTAGTTTCATTACCTTGTACTTGCAGTGATTGTTCTTCAATAGCCTCTTTTATAATCTTTTCTAGTCTTTTTCTGTGGGGGTGGGTGATTATTATTTTTTTTAATAGTACTAGTAGGAATAATGATGTATGGGATTTCCGTTTATTGGGAGTCTTCATACAGTGTAACCCCAAATGTGCAAGTTTCATGATTAGCATGTTTCAGTTTTGCAACATTTTACTGAAAGGCATCCTGTGAATAGCTTTGATTAGTCATAATTTACTTCATTATGCTTAATTTTTTATTGGCTTCACACTCTACCTCTGAATTGAAGACTAACTGCACGATTTTATTGAGAATATACTTAATAACTTTCTTTCACCCAATTTTTTCTTTGTGGAAATTCTTTGAATTTCAAAAATTTACCACATTAGAGTCGTATTTTAAGAGATGATCACTCTCCATGGGGAAATGGAACAGAATTTTTCCTCTGTAAGCCATTTATTGTCGTTAGAGGCAGCTAAAATGCTGGGAGCAACGGGCTAGTAACCCATTCTTCTGTATACATTACAAGAGTTAATAAAAGAGAAACTTTTGTTTTTCTTTTTGGGCTACCTTGCTTTGGTGGGATATGGCTGGTTTGGTGAAAAAAGATCTCTGAAACAAACTAAACTCAAATTAGAAATTTTTTTTTTTTTTTGAATGGAATGTTGTACTACAGTACTCCATTTGCATATACAGTGGTCCCTCGATAATCGTCGGGCTCAATAGTCATCCTTTTCAGAAATCGTTGCGTTATTTTCGTCCAAACATTGGCTTGCAAATGGTCAGTTGACTCGCTTATCGTTGTTCATCCTGGACGAGTACTCACGGCTCTGAGCAGCCTCGGCCTCCCTTCCCAGCCAGTGTGCTATTGTTTACCAGTGAGAGACGGTCCCCTCACTTGTTCATATGAAATATTTAATAATTCATTCATTTTAGTGCTTGCAAGTGCTAAATAAGCTACCATGGCTCCAAAGAAAGCTCCTAGTGCCAAGCCTTTGGTAAAGAAGGTGAGAAATACAATTGAATTTAAGAAAAACATCATTGAACAATATGAAAGTGGCGTATGTGTGACTGAACTGGCCAGGATGCATAACAAATCCCGTACAACCATATCTTCCATCGTGGCCAAGAAAAGGAAATCAAGGAAGCTGTTGTTGCAAAGGGGTTAAATACGCTGACAAAAATGAGATCATCAGTACTTGAGAAGTTATTAATGGTGTGGATAAACGAGAAACAATTAGCAGGAGATAGTCTTATGATGTTGATTATGTGTGAAAAGGCTAGGCAATTGCATGACGATCTGGTAAAGTATTTGCCTGCAACGAGTACCGACATTTGTGAATTAAAGGCCAGCAAAGGTTGGTTTGAGAGATTTAAGAACCGTAGTGGCATGCACAGTGTGATAAGGCATGGTGAGGCTGCCAGTTCGGACAAAATTGCAGCTGCAAAATTCGTAAGTGAATTCAAGGAGTACATAGAGGCTGTAGGACTGAAACCTGAACAAATGTTCAATTGTGATGAAATAGGCCTCTATTGAAAGAAATACCAAAGAGGACCTACATTACTCAGGAAGAAAAGGGACTGCCAGGACACAAGCCTATGAAAGACAGGCTGATGCTCATGTTCTGTGCTAATGCTAGTGGGGATTTCAAAGTGAAGCTGTTACTAGTGTACCATTCTGAAAATCCCAGAGTGTTCAGGAAAAACAGTGTTATAAAGAGTAAATTGTGTGTGTTTTGGAGATCTGATAATAAGGCATGGGTCACGAGGGAAATTTTCGTCGAGGGGTTCAATGAAGTGTTTGGCCCTAGTGTGAAGAATTGCCTCATGGAAAAGAAATTGGATCTCAAGTGCCTCCTAGTAATGGACAGTGCACCTGCTCATCCTCCAAACTTGGATGACCTAATTCTGAAGGAGTTTGGGTTCATCACAGTAAAGTTCTTGCCCCCGAATACCACTCCTCTCCTCCATCCCATGGACCAGCAGGTCATTTCAAACTTCAAAAAACTCTACACCAAAGCAGTGTTTCAAAGGTGCTTTAATGTGACCTCAGACACACACTCGACCCTAAGAGATTTTTGGAAAGAACACTTCAGTATCCTCCATTGCATAAGCCTTGTAGGTAAGGCTTGGGAGGGAGTGACTACCAGGACATTGAACTCTGCTTGGAGAAAATTGTGGCCAGATTATGTCCAGAAGAGGGATTTTGAAGGGTTTGTGGCTGACCCTGATGAGTCTGTCAGTTGTGAACTCTATTGTGGCATTGGGGAGTTCCATGGGGTTGGATGTGAGTTTGGAGGATGTGGAAGAGTTGGTGGAGGACCACAACGAAGAGCTCACCACTGAGGAGCTGCAAGAGCTTCAGCAGGAACAGCAACAGATTGCAGCTCAGAATCTTGCTGCAGAGGAGGAGGAGGAAGAGAGATGGAAGAAGGTGCCTTCTTCAGAAATTAAGGAGATTTTTGAAATATGGGGTAGGATGAAAAGATTTATGGAGAAACATCACCCTGAGAAAGATGTTGCAAGCCATATTGGCAACTTGTACAGTGACAGAGTCTTGCCCCATTTTAGGGAAGTTTTAAAGAGACGCCAGAAACAGCTTTCTGTACACTTTTTTGCGAGACAGGACTCCAGTGACTCTCAAGCAGGTCTTAGTGGCATTAAGAAACAGAGAAGAGAAGTAACCCCAGAAAAGGACTTGGTACCTGAGGTGTTGATGGAAGGGGATTCCCTTTCCAAACAGTAACTAATCCAATCTCTCTCCTCCACCAGTCTTCCATACACTAAGAAGAATCACCAATAAAGGTATGTGTTATGCTGTTAATGTTTCATTCATCATGTCCCATTGTATTGTTTATGTACTACATCTATATTTCATGTAAAAAAAAATTTGTTTTAATACTTCTGGGTGTCAGGAATGGAATAATTGTATTTACATTATTTCTTATGGGGAAAATTGATTCGAAAACAGTCTATTTCGATAATCATTGCACTTCCAGGAACGGATTAACAACGATAAACGAGGGACCACTGTACTAAATTTGCAGTAACCTCTAAGAACCTAAACTTCAAGGTTTTGTGGTTGTGTGATGTGCTTAACTTTTAAGTGTAGTCTTATGGTACTTAGTAATGCTTTATGTTTATATCTTGCATGCATTACTGATACTGTACAGTTCAGATTTAAAAATGATTGCATCTTAAATTTAAATACAAGTGTTTTGTTTCAGTTGCACAAGCAGGGCACTACACTGCCTTTGCACGGAGCCCGGTGACAGGAGAGTGGCATCATTTTAATGATGATTCAGTTACAAGACAAAAACCACGTGAGGAGGAATACTCTACTGCATATCTTCTTTTTTATCATAGGCAAGGTACAGTAATTTTTCTGTGTTCGCTCTGTTCACCAAATTAGCTCTTTTTATTTTTTAACACATTGGCTGTTTTCCCACCAGGGTAGGGTGATCCAAAAAGAAAGAAAAAACCCAAAGAGAAAAAACTTTTATCATTCAGCACTTTCACCATCACTCGTACATCACTGTCTTTGCAGAGGCCAATATCCCAAATCCTTCCTTTAACCCTTTGACTGTCGAAAGGCCCAATCCTGAAGTGTCTCCTGGTGTCGCAAAATAATCGAAAAAAAAAAAATTCTTATGAAAATGTTAAGATTATTTTTCTGATTTTTTTTAGTCCCCAAAAAATAATTTTCCCATCAGTACTTACCGAGATATAGAGGCATGAAGTTTGCAGAAAATGAGCCGCGTATGGCAACAGCGGCGACTGCCGCTCACCCGGTAAACTTCAGTTTACTTGTATTTGAAGGTTTGTTGTTTTTTTCACTATTTTATTTTTTCACATAACTTATGTGGCCTCTGAGACCAAAGTAAGGTGCAATGTACATATATACACTCGTTGTATACAACACAATAAGCACACAAACATAATTATCAATATATTGTTTACAAAACTTGTTTACAAAAACAAACTATACAAAAAATGTTTATTAGTATTGTTCTACAATATATATACCAATATACAGTCACTGGATGTATTCCTAGAAGTTCTGCAGCTTGTGGAACTCTTTGAAACATGGTGTCATACACAGTGGTGTTTTACGCTCCTTCCTTACTTTTTTCCTTCCTTTCGTCTCGTCCTTCCTTCATTCCTGCCTTCCCTTTTTGCTTCTGGTTTCTATAATATATATACACATATATAGTCACTAGATACTTTCATATAACTGCTATTATCTCCATTCATCTAGCTTGTCTTGTGTGCTAGTGTGTGGTTTATAATTGTTTTGAGTCAGGAGTGGGCAGCTGTCAAAATGACATATTGTCTCATTACTCACTCCCCCTACCGCCTGTCAAAACAGTGGGGTCGGATGCTGCTTCCCCCTCCATTCTATCTAATTATATTTCTCCCTCATTCTATCTCTCTCTCTTTCTCTCTGTTTGTCTATCTGTGTCTCACAGGTACACATAAATACAAGTATACATAGTGTAAATTACCTAGGATAACCCAAAAAATCCAGACAAAGTGCTATACTCTGCTTGAAGATGTGAGTAAATGTGATGACACAGTCTTGTGGCTCTCTCTGAGACAGAGCTAGACAGATAGACAGGGAGCTTGGCAGACAGACAAATAGACAGACAGACAAATGTTTGTGTACCAGCAAAAACAAAGGGAGGGGGATAGTCATCTAATCTTTCCTTATCAGCTCCACCCTTGTTTACGCTCATCAAACATCAGCTTTTATCAGATGTTCTCTCTCCTTATCTTGTCACTGTCATGGGGTGAACTGTTTTTCATGCTTCAAGGGAACATATTATATATTATTATTATTAGGTATTATTATTATTATTCCTCTTCTTCCTCTTCTTCTTCCTCTTCTTCTTCTTCTTCTTCTTCTTCTTCTTCTTCTTCTTCTTCTTCTTCCTCTTCTTCCTCTTCTTCCTCTTCTTCCTCTTCTTCCTCTTCTTCCTCTTCTTCTTCCTCTTCTTCTTCCTCTTCTTCCTCCTCCTCTTCTTCCTCCTCTTCTTCCTCCTCTTCCTCTTCTTCTCTTCTTCCTCCTCTTCTTCCTCTTCTTCCTCTTCTTCCTCTACTTCTTCTTCTTCCTCCTCTTCTTTTTCTTTTTCTTTTTCTTCTCCCTCCTCCTCTGCCTTCCTCCATCCTCCTCCTCCTGCTTCCTCCTTCCTCCTCTGCCTTTCTCCTCCTCCCTCCCTTCCTCCTCCTCCCTCCCTCCTCCCTCCTCCCTCCTTCCTTCCTTCCTTCCTTCCTTCCTCCTCCTTCCTTCCTCTTCCTCCTTCCTTCCTTCCTTCCTCTTCTTCTTCTTCCTCCTCTACTTCCTCCTCCTCCTCTTCCCCCTCCCCCTCTTCTTCCTCCTCCTCCTCCTCCTCCTCTTCTTCCTCCTCCTCCTCCATTGCTTTTGGTCTCAAACTCCTCGAAATTATGAAATTGATCTTCACTGACACTTCCATCTGTGTTAGAGCATCACTTGGGAAGAGAAGAGTCCCAGATTTGCTGGGGAGTCGCATATTTCTTACCACTAGACATGCTGAAAAAGGACGACTGAAATGGCATTCCCACAATGCACCACTGGCTCCCCGATTTTTTTTATATGGTGCACACTGACCATGGAGACCCATTCTCTCACATGTGGGCCTACCAGCTTTCTCCTCCTTGATTTGAAGCCGCTAGAATTTATGCGTATAGATACGTCAAACACGGTATCCCCTATGACGTATATATACGACCGCGACAGTCAAGGGGTTAAAGTGCAGGCATTGTACTTCCCATTTCCAGGACTCAAGTCTAGCTAACCGGTTCCCCTGATTCCCTTCACAAAATATTACCCTGCTCACACTCCAACAACTCATCAGATCCCAAAAACCATTCATCTCCATTCACTCCTATCTAACATGTTCACACACACTTGCTGACTCCAAGCCCTCACCTACAAAACCTCCTTTACCCCCTCCCTCCAACCTTCTTGATGTCAACCCCTACCATGCCTTCCTTTCCCTACAGATTTACACACACTCCAAGTCATTCTGCTTTGTTCCATTCTCTCTAAATGACCTAATTTCCACACTATGAATTCTCTGCATAATATTTACACACATTGCCCTTAGACACAACATCTCCACTGCCTCCAGCTTCCTCCTTGCTGCAGCATTTACAGCATGTGCTTCACACCCACATAAGAATGTTGGTACCACAATATTCTTGTACATTCTCTTCTTTGCCTCCATGGATAACATTTTTGTCTCCACAGATATCTCAACACACCACTTGCCTTTTTTACTTCATCAATTCTATGGTTAACCTCATCCTTCATAAACCCATCTGCTGACAAGTCAACTCCCAAATATCTGAAAACATTCACTTCTTCCATACTCCCTTCCTCCAGTGTTACATCCAATTTTTCTTTATCTAAATCGTTTAATACTCTCATCAGCTCACTCTTATCTACGTTCAATTTCAACCTTCTACTGCACCTTTACACACCTTCCCAAACTCATCCACTATCCTTTGCAACTTTTCTTTAGAATCTTCCAAAAGCACAGTATCATCAACAAAAAGTAACTGTGTCAACTCCCATTTTGTATTTGATTCCCCATAATTTAATCCCACCCCCCTCCCCAACACCCTAGTATTTACTTCTTTTACAACTCCATCAATAAATATGTTAAACAACCATGGTGACATTACACATACCTGTCTTTAGACCTACTTTTACTGGGAAGTAATCTCCCTCTTTCCTACACACCCTACAATCACTAGATACCTTCCCCTCAGCCAAGAAAGTGGAGCATACTCAAGATGTAAGTGTACTTGTACCTTGTACAGAATCTTGCAGCCTCTTATCAGGCAGATGCAAAATGTCTTGAGTGCTGTACAGTGCTAGTCATGGCGTTATGCCGCCCCTCCCCCAAACACGTACCAAAACACACACATACCTTGAAAGATTATTGTATGTCTATTTGCACACTTACTGAGGTTTTAATACTTGGTGCTGCATCCTTTATGCTTAATCACATCCCTCAGCTATGTAGGAAGACTCACACAAATTCCTGAGGGTTTGGGAAGGTATATTATTCCATGCCTCACTTAGGTCACACTACACATACATGTACACATTTATTTATATACACTCATCTGAGTTTTCTTTGATTTTATCTTAATAGTTCTTGGTCTTATTACTTTTCCTTTTATATCCATGGGGAAGTGGAATAAGAATCTTTCCTCCGTAAGCCATGCGTGTTGTAAAAGTCAACTAAAATGCCGGGAACAATGGGCTAGTAACCCCTTTTCCTGTAAAGATTACTAAAAAGAATAAGAAGAAGAAAATTGTCAAAGTGGGAAGTCTGAATGTGCGTGGATGTTGTGCAGATGATAAGAAAGAGATGATTGTGGATGTTATGAATGAGAAGAAGCTGGATGTCTTGGCTTTAAGTGAAACAAAGCTGAAGGGGGTGGGAGAGTTTCAGTGGAGAGGAATAAATGGGATTAGGTCAGGGGTTTCAAATAGAGTTAGAACTAAAGAAGGAGTAGCAGTAATGTTGAAGGATAAGCTATGGCAGGAAAAGAGGGACTATAAATGTATTAATTCCAGGATTATGTGGAGTAAAATAAAGATTGGATGTGAAAAGTGGGTTATAATAAGCGTGTATGCACCTGGAGAAGAGAGAAGTGTAGAGGAGAGAGAGAGATTTTGGGAAATGTTGAGTGAATGCGTGGGGAGTTTTGAATCAAGTGTGAGAGTAATGGTGGTTGGGGATTTCAATGCTAAAGTGGGTAAAAATGTTATGGAGGGAGTAGTAGGTAAATTTGGGGTGCCAGGGGTAAATGTAAATGGGGAGCCTTTAATTGAGCTATATATATGTAGAAAGAGATTTGGTAATAAGTAATACATATTTTATGAAAAAGAGAATAAATAAATATACAAGGTATGATGTAGCACGTAATGAAAGTAGTTTATTAGATTTTGTATTGGTGGATAAAAGGTTGATGGGTAGGCTCTAGGATGTACATGTTTATAGAGGGGCAACTGATATATCAGATCATTATTTAGTTGTAGCTACAGTTAGAGTAAGAGGTAGATGGGAAAAGAGGAAGGTGGCAACAACAAGTAAGAGGGAGGTGAAAGTGTATAAACTAAGGGAGGAGGAAGTTCGGGTGAGATATAAGCGACTATTGGCAGAAAGGTGGGCTAGTGCAAAGATGAGTAGTGGGGGGGTTGAAGAGGGTTGGAATAGTTTTAAAAATGCAGTATTAGAATGTGGGGCAGAAGTTTGTGGTTATAGGAGGGTGGGGGCAGGAGGAAAGAGGAGTGATTGGTGGAATGATGAAGTAAAGGGTGTGATAAAAGAGA